AAACCCCACACCAAAAATAGTGCCGACAAACACTTTGACTAACAATCTCAAAAGGTCAAACATCCTTGATAGATTTCATCCGGACCTCTTCTTTACACGTTAATTTCATCGAGTCACACTCTGACTAATCTGTCTTATGCATCAACGCCATCTTGATCAGCATCTCAAGTGATTAGACGGGGACAGGATTCGAACCAGCAGTCTTCAGGTCATGAGCTTGATGAGTCGACCAATTTCTCTACCCTACTTGCTGCTATAGGTTAGCAGCCTTCTTCGAGACCCGGAGAAGTAGGGTGCGGCAACTTCAGAGGTAGCGAGACTGACCGCAATTGCAGAAAGCGTACTTCATTTCATTCCAGTCTTCATTGCATTGCTTCTAGCTCAAAACTCAACGTCAAATACCGTCTTGGAGTAAGCTTTCTTAGCAAATGCGAGAAGCATTTCGCCATTTACTACCTCCTGGCTCACAGCCGGTGGGCCATTAACTATACCTGTTCTTATAGCTGTTGGGAACCAGACTTGCTGCTCAAGTCAACATTGATCTTTGGCACCGAAGACTACTGAAGTGAGAAGATCATTTTTCACAAAACCTTTCCTGGCTAAAATTTGTTGCTTGAATGAGACCTCCGTTGATAGATGTGCTTGGCCTACCTAACAAAGCCGAACATGTGACTCCATAATCCATAATTAGGGTCATTTGTGGTCGTATCTACTTCCGGGGTTTCTTCATTCTTCGATTTAGTGATATGATGTCTTTCTGGAAATTCATGGTCGAGACTTTCTCAATGACGAGGGACTCGATTCCATTTAGCGATATACGGGCAACTGAATAGTTAACGCTAGCGTGGCCAAAGCTTCTGCTAACTTGTTTTCTTCTCTCTACACATGCTTCTTATCATCCTTTGACTAAGTGTTCCGCCAAAGCGTGATATGCCTTCCTTTGATATGGTCTTGGTTCTTTGGTTTTCCAGGATTCCAAAACCTTACTGATGACTAACTTAGAGTCCCCAATGACCTTGATACTTTTTGCTATTAGTGGTTGGGCTACTGTGAAGTTAAGCCCGCGATGAACGCTTCGTACTCGGCCACGTTGTTGGTTGCTGGAAAAACCAATTGGTTAGGTATGAGTACTCCTTCAGGTGAGAGGAGGACGATTCTCTCGCCTGTTCCTATTCATGTTCGTGCTTACTTGTAAGCCGGAATTTCAAGATAAAGAAAGATCTATTATTTGACAGACGACAAAGAGTTATTTACCGACTCTGAACAGCCGATTGAACGAAATCTTATCTATTCAGACTTTCCATTGCACGAGACACTCCATTTTAGATTACCCAAGATATATCTATGCTGACTCGTCTGTGTCTCAGATGGTGTACAGTCACCCACACTTTTCTTCTCAAATGGGCAGAGGTGACCAGACCGCTTTGTTAGGAAGGAACACTACACGAGCAAGACTCATACAGCACGCACTAGAGCAAGACCATCTTTCCGCAAAAACACTGAATGCAAAAGTGAAAGAAAAAGTGAAAAAAAGTCTAAACCGCTGTACGGCGAGTTAGCCCTTTCTTTTAGGTAGCTTCACTCATTCTCAGAGGAATGGGTTTATATATCTTTCTTAATTACTCTTCGGAGTGGTATTGAACGAGGTTTCATCGGGATAGAAAGATGTCCATAGCTCCAGCCCCCCGGGGCCGGCACTATCTGTTTCATGTACCTACGACCCCGAATGGAGAGTCCGACTATTCTGGGCTTGGATGGGGCCCCATGCTTTCAGGTCTTCAATTCTTCCTAAATTCAGATACTCTAATTCGTTACTTTCCTTACTATATTAGACATAAGATAAGTCTAATATCTTTACTGGATTTCCGATGACTTTTTCATAAAGAGTAATTTTGTTGGGTAACATACCGACAAACTACCTCGAAAGTTCTCATATCATTGATCTTTCGACCTCTTTTATATATGTTAGCATCATCAAATAATTATGACTAATAATCTCAGAAAGTCAACATCTTTGATGAATTTCTTTCAATCTCTTCCATACAATTTTACATCATCAAGCCACAATCCGACCAATTACTCAGGATATATATAAAATCCTTATTAGATTTCTTATAACATCATTCATAAAGGTTAATGTCCTTCAGTAACACATTGACAAACAACCTTGAAAGATTTAACATCCTTAATGGATTTCATCAGACCTTTTCCTTGCAAGTTAAAGACGTCAAGCAACACTCCGACCAACAACCTCAAAAGGTCTAACATCTTTGATGGATTTCTTTCAACCTATTCCTTATAAGTTAACATTGTCGAGTAACACTTCGACAGAATAATCTTGGAATAACAAACAACTTTAATAGATTTCTCATGATACCTAATATTAAGATTAATGATATACAAAGGACATCTGATAGGTTAAACATCCTTCATGGATTTCTCATAGCATTTTATATATAGATGACCTCAAATAAATCAAATATTCTAAGTGAACTTCTCATGATATCTTATATACATATTAATGACATACTAATGATCTTAAAAAGGTCAAATATTCTTACTATATATCTCATGATATCTTATATACATATTAATATTGTACAAATAACTTCAGATAGCTTGGCTAATGCTTGATTCACACCATTTGATCACTATCATCTATATACATTCATCCAATAATGAAAAGCATTTGGTTCTACTTTCTCATATGAAGACCTAAACTTAAAGAGCATATTTAAAAAGCTCGTGAGACTTGAAGGCTTTTTAAGCTTCAACATTTCATAATGTTTAAGCTACTATTGTCTTACTAATAGTGTCATCAAATTCTCATTGCTTGCTATTGATGTCAATGCCCCCACTTTCAAACTATCATCATCCTTAAATTACCGTTCAATTGATATTGCACGACCAACATTAACATTACTATCTGGCTAATACTCTCTAACTATCAATACAGCTGAATTGCAAGTATAAAGCCATCATTGTTTGGCAATCATATCTTGAATACATTCAATCATTGATGCTCATTGATTTTATTGTATGTCAACATTAACGTCAATGTTTGTCAACATCATCTGTCATTATTCATAAAGTCGATACATGATATCAATCTCAGCTTCATTAATGCACGTCCTTGACACAAGTCACAACTTATCAGTCTAGTAC